TTCCATTTCCAGAGTTTTTGCCACAGGTGAAAAAGAAAAAAAAAAGCAACCAACCCAAACTAAACCAAGAAGAGCCTTTTTTTCAAATTATTGTGTTATAACAAAAAAATGAGGAGACTGATGATGGGTAAAACAACACAATAAAGGTCATATACCACTCAGAAGAAAAGAGGAATATTCCAGTTTAGTAATTCCCCTGACACTAGGGAAGAACAATAAACTTGTGAAAGACATTGCTATTTTAGCTCTCTTTGCATGAAATCATGGCTCCAGCAGGGATCCCTCTGTATATGGGCAGTTGGTCTCCTCTCTGCTCCCCTCACTTACCACTTCCCCATCTTTATTTATCTTGTGACGTTTAGAACAGCAGCTCTGTAGGCCTGAAACCCAATCCTCTTGATATTTCCAAGTACTTCATAAATTAACATTTTGTGCAACCAGAGTGTGGAGGAGTGCCCTTGAGGACACTGTGCTTTGTTGAATGAGAAGTGATGTGGTTTTGGAATCTTGGTTTTATTTTTGTAGTGCAGCTGTATAGATGGAAGTGATGTAGCTCAGCAAGGGAGGTAAATCTGTGCTCCCAGGGTATCCTGGGATTTCTTTAAACTCTTATACAACTTCTAGGTTATTTGCCTAAAGGGTTGCCATAAGGCAGATTGCCTCTCTGTGAGTTGTTGGTGCCCCTGTTAAAAGAAATATATAAAAGAAATTGTATTTGTCTTGCTGTCTTGCAGATAACTAGCATCAATAGAGCTTTCCCAATTTCTATAGGATATATGTAGTTCATATATAGGACTATATATGTATGTATATATACAGTTTATATGTAGGACTACCTGGTGAAGTGTTACTCTAGAGCCTTGAAATCAAAGTTTAGTCTCTTCAAACCAATGTTACAGGATAATTCTGTAAAAAGTAAGTTCTGTTGCATCCAAAAAAAAAAGTCAATCCTCCTTTGGCTTTCATCCCAGCCACGCTGTGATACTTACAGCTGGAAAGCCATCCTGCTTTCTCTGCATTTTTGTTTATCTACTGGAATGCTTTCCATGCCATCTGTAACCATCAGATTCTTCATGTGTTTTTTGGCTGTTCTTTCTTGCCTGCAACCACAAGCTCTTTATGGGTAAAATTGGGTTAGGTTTTCTTTGGGTTTTGGTTTTTTCCTTTAGTACAGCTGAGAGTGCATGGGTAAAGCTTTGCAAATAAGGATCAATGTTTCTAAAAATCAAATGTTAAAGTGGTAAATGAAAAGGTCAAGTGCTGAGATTCAGATAAGTTCAGCAAAGCTTAAACTTGAAGTATATGTCTTAACTGAAGTTTACTTAAAATACCTAAAAACGGAACTTGAAAAGCTTGAAAAAACTCAAACGCTTACAATTGAAGTTTATTTAGTGCATGAGGGAGAGGGAAAGGGGTAGGTAGGCTTTCCTAGCTGTACCACATGGATTAAATACCCCTTGTCCTCCTGGTTGTTGCAGTTCTTCTCAGTTGTTGGAGGCAAGAGTGGTTGTTTTTGTTTCTGCCCATCCTGTATCTCTTCTTTCCGATTAAAAAAATAAATTCATTAATGGACAACTCTTGAGAGTGGCTCTGTGTTTTCTTCCTTATATATGCCTCATATGGAGCCAGGCAGGCAGGAGTGGATGCTGGGGAGCTCACAGAAGCTGGGCAGTGAAACCAGCATTTGATGTAAGCCCACTGCCAGAAAGAGCAATCCTGAGCAGGGTGTCATGGGAAAATGGAAAAGACATTTTGGGATTCCTGTCTACATGCTGTTCAAAGTCCTTCAGCCCTTCAGATTGTACATGGGATGGGCTGGCCTGGAGGAACATTGATCTCCCTGTCAGATCTGTCCTCACCATACACCCTTTGCCTGCAATGCCTAGAAGAAATAAGCCACCTAATTATGGCCAAATTAAATGGTAGCTGGGAGCAGTGGATGAAGAGGGTTTATTGCTCTGGCACGAGGGGTTTGTATCCCTTCCTGCTGCCTGTGCTTAATTGTAAGCTCTTCAGGGCAGAAACTTCGTTTGCATTGACATTTTTACAGCATATAACCAATGGGGCCCTAATTCTGGGTGAGGTTTTGGGAACCACAGTAAAGCAAATAGATGATTTTTTTCTTTTCCTGACATATATTACCATACCCGGGGAAATGAAGAGCAGTCATCTGTCCTCATCCATGAAATTTTGTGTGAAATCACACTAAAGTTCTCTAGAAGAGACATTAATAAAACACAGTGTATTAATTCTTCAGTGCTTAACACAGCAGAAGGGTATCTGTCCCATTTTGAGAAGGCTCCAGTAACTTTCTATTTTACTGACATCTGCAGATTTTTATAACGTCTAAGACCACTGTTGCTTTGGAAAGCTTGAACCTGGATTTTCATTTCATGTCCTACTTTCCAATTTGCACTTGCAAGGGATTTCACTGTGTTATCCTAAGGTGGAAAACCAAATACAATTTTAGAAACCTTGCAATGTAATTGCCTGGAGGTATATGGAGCTTGTGATAAAACCTCCCAGCCACATTCAAAATTCAAAAGATTTAGCTGTTTGTGAGAAATTCAATTAATGTTTTAAGTACAGGCAGCTGCCATGAGGGTGCTGGGTGAGAGCTGGGCAAGGGAGGTGGGATTTCTATTTACCTGTTCTTGTTAGTTTGGTTCTCAAGGCAGTTCATGTGCAGTCCAGATCCTGATCTCACAGTAGGGCCAGTTATTCTCACTGCATCCTTCTGTATCTGGTGCAGCAAGTTCTTCCTGCCCAGAAAGACAGAAATGGCTTTCTGGGGCTCAGAGCAGGCATTGGCTTGAAGGATGTGTTCTTCTAATAGTAGGAGAAAACAAAGTTTAGCTGTTTAACTTCCTTTCCCTTGTTTGTTTTCTTTTTTCTTCCTCGTTTTTACACTTGAAGTAGTCCAACTTACTGACTGTATTAGGATCCCTATGTATCTTGGCTTGGTTATGACCAGTATGATCTGCCTTTTGTTTTTCAAGTTTTTCAGAGGCTGCTCCATGCCTGTCTATTGGTTGGAGAAATTCACTTGTCTAGAGACCTAAATTTAGTCCTTTGCTGATGCAGAGTAGTCATTCAGGCTTATCAGTCACTCAGTTTTTCTCCTACGTTTTTGCCAAAGAACTTCCTAACAAGATAAAATAAAATATCTTCCAAACCTGCCTGGCTCCTTGCAAACTAAGTTTGCATCCGTAGAAAAATTGGAATGACATGTGCATTATGAACCAAGGAATCACTTTAAGTTACTGATGTAAGGACCAACCAGTAAGATAAGAGGGGGAAAATCTTCCTGCAGGAAGTGTTCCCATTATTTTTTGACAAGACCCAGTGTTCCACAGTGTCACCTTATTTCACTGCTGCTGCTGTGCACTTCTCTTGCCAAAAAAATACCCAACCAAAACTGACATGAATTTGAATTCACAGGGAATTAGTCTATAGCAATGAGAAATTCTGAAAATCCATATGTGAAATGAGTTTGAAAGCTTGGGGTTTTTTCAAGCATGGTTTAATTTCTGTAAGATAAAATAAATGTTCTTGTCTAGGTAATGTTTTTATGCTCCTGTTTAGGACATCCAGGTTCAGGGCAGGAGAGAGAGGCTCAGGTAAATCATGAGGGAGATTGGCAGGGTTTGTACATTTTTTGGTTTTGTTTTTTTTTTTTTTCTTTTTGAGCCCTCAGTAGGACTAGAACTGGGGCATGTTGTAGGGCACAAGTGAAGATTGTTTGCAGAGCTGTTCTTGGAGCTCACCTGCCCAAATGGCAGGCAGTGCTACTAATCCCCTCTTTTCCTGAGAAAGTTTCTTGTAAGAGCTGAAAATACAGTGAACACTATCAGGCATAACCATTTTGGGGTTCTTGCTGTACGAGGGGGAATCTCAAGGTTAAAAGTAGGTATGAATTGGACTGGATTTAAAACTCTTGTAAAATCCTTGTCCATCCACTGGCTGCCTCAGAGGATCTTTTGCAGAGGGGCTGTTTTGATGCACAAGCTTGGCAGGTCGCTCTGGTATTTTTAAAGCAACTGGCACAAAAATATTTTGTAAAATAGAGCGTGTGAGGGAGCAAGGCTAGCTGGAATCAGCTAAGAGAACTTAGGCTGTGGTTTAATTTCTGTCTCACTAAAGGCAAACTGTGGGATTTGGAAAGGAGCAAAATATGAACAAGATCCTGCATTTTTTGTGTGAAAAGCAGAGTGGTATTTCATCTATTTTAAAAAGGGCTTGAAGTATTTGCAGAGAATTACCAGTTCTGCAGACATGAGTAACAGCAGAAATTCCATTTTTAATTGTTTTGCATTCCTTCATCTTAGGATCCTGGATCTCTTAATACACATATTAAGTGAAAACTTAGAGCTTTTGTTTAGAGTGAATATTTTCTGCTGGAGTGGAGGAACTAATGCAAGAGAAATTCTGGTTCAACTGACTCAAAGCTCAGTATAAAAAAACTTTCACCAGGTTATAGAGAAATTCCAGGGACAAACCGGAAAGAGGAAAGATTCTTGACTAAAATAGTTTCTGCAGGATGAGTAATGGTAGGTTTTGATTATGAAAAATGCTAATGCAGAATCATGAGCACCATATATTCTGGGGGTTTTTTCTTCAGAGCATTTTTGGTAGTTTGTTTTCTATGTGGATTTGAAATGTCTTTTTAACAAATAATCCAGTGAAAGGCATAAAAATGGTACCAAATTTCCTTGGGCAAGGTAGTAGTTGGATTTCTTGAGCCGCAGAGAGAACTACAAATATTCATAAATTATTTTTCATGGGAGAGTGGGAGAATTGGTGGAATGATTTGAATTAAGGATTGATAATTGTCATAAAAAGCAGATATGAAGTGAGGATTGTTAAGAGGAAAGATGAACTGAGATGGACATGAAGGGGAAGAGAAAAAGTGCTTATTGGAAAAAGGAATGTGTGAGTCCTAAAGCTACTTACAATTTAATGAAAAATAGCTTAAACTTCCTTTTTCTTTTTTGTTTCAGTGTTCTGAGGTCATGAAACTTAATCCACAGCAAGCTCCGTTGTATGTGAGTACCAATTAAAACACTTTTTCCCCTCTCCTACTATTCACACAAAACACTTCCCATCAGCTCTTTGCAGATGCTGCTTCTTTTCTCTTTTCTCCCTAAAGAGTTTATTAGTATTAATTCATTGTAAATGCTCAGGTAAGTCCCAGAGCTCCTCTGGTTTCCAGCAGCCTGTTTGGAGCAGTTTTTGAGGCATGCAGTGCTGTTTCTGTGCAGGTATCCCCACTCCTGTTTCTCCTCCCCAGAGTGCGCTGGAGTGCGTGGCCGTGCTCGTGTGGCTTGGTGTGTTCAGGAAATTGCTTGTGTGGAAAGCAGGGCATCCCAGAGTGCAGGGCTTGCCCACCGTGCTGCCATGTTTGTGTTTGGAGTTTTAGACGTGGCAGAGAGGACTGGGAGGCAGTGAAGGGCTGGGCTGCTGCAGGGTTTGCTTTGCGCCAGCCTCCGTAACCTCCATGGCTCCATTAATAAGGAACGAGCTTCCCCTGGCTCTTGAATAGCAGCTTTGTTGGAGAGCATGGGGACTGTCAAATCAGACCTGGATGTGTGTGGGGGTGTGTGTGTGTTAAATCTGTGCCAAAGCTGCCAGCCAGGTCTGGGACTGTTTGCTTTCCACATTGCCTTGCCATGCTGGGAGCAGGCTGAGCCACTGGAGCTTGTGCTCCTGCCCAAGACATTGCCAGCTAGGGCAGAGCTGGATGTGAGGATGGAAAATTTGAAGGGAAAATTGCTCACAAATGTGGCTTTTAAGGGGAAGGAAGGAGAAACAATCAGGACTGGTGATAGACCTGTGTTTTGGACAGTGTTGCATGTTGTGATTAATGGATCATACTGACTTTTAATGCCATGGAGGCTTTAAATTTTGCCTTCCTTTGCCAACCAACTAGGAGTTTGCATTGGAATTTATCCTCCACCCACTGTCTTAAGTCTGTGCTTGAAGCAAGATTAAAATACTACATAGTGTGACCTGATTTTCTGAGTGTGGCTTTCCAGGAGTACACCATATCCTGAATTTTTAAACTAAATGTTGCCTAAATTTTGTTAAATCTCAAGTCTGCTGAATGTACCTTGACTTTGAAGAAACTTCATTTAAACTTAGGACACATTAAGAGAGAATGGAAATTATGTGCAAATATACAATGAAATAACTACAGTAGAAACACATGAATGGTGTAATCAGAACAAAATTATTCTCATGTCATTTGAACAATGTATGACTTAGTTAATCTGGAGTCTTTGTTTTCTCAGGCTTATCTACTGAATTAGTTTATTTTCCCACTGTTTTGTGTGGGATTTTATTGAATATGTAATGCTGAACTGGTACACTTAGAAGTCCTCATCCCCACGTGATAGAGAACTGGGCTGAGGTCAAGTGTAGCCTGGTGTAAAATAATGATTATATGGCACTTGGTATAGTGTTTCTTTGCAATGTAAATAAGTTCCATTATTAATACATCAGTGACTCCCTTTTCTCTCCTCCTCCCCTGCCCAGGTATATACACAAATCAGCTCCCTTTCAAAACAAACAGATTTGTTGGTACCTTAAGGAAATTTGAAAGGTCAAGATTTCTTCTTTGTTTGTTCTCAGTATAAATGCTTTTTACATTTTAAGATCAGTTTTGTTTTCCATGTGTTACTAATTGACAACTCATCTGAGAGTTGTTAGGTGCTAGCAGAGCACAAAGAAAAGGGAATCTTCCTGGTATTTCTGTTTTTCTAAAGGCAGACACAGCAGTCTTGTGGCCATTGGGAGGCGAATAACAAACCTCATCACATTCCTTTTTCAGAGTGATGGCAACTCCATTTTTCACATACAGACTCCTAGATCTTGTTTTCAAATTACAGAGAACAGTATCCTGTTAATTCCTCCATAAGGAATTTTGTCTATGTAAATGACTGTAAATAAGAGGCAATACTGACATGTCAGAGGATTTCCCTATCTTTGTCTTCTTTCAGGAAAATATGCTTCTCCCACACTTGACCCTTTTGTTTTTGACACCTTTTCATCCTTTACACTCCTCTTCTTTTAAGCTAATATCTTAAATTAAGGTTTATGCAATTTTGTTTATTATTTTACTAAATCTGCCATGAGTTTCATCCTGAAAGATCCATTAGATGTTTTAATCAGCAGCATTATTGAGCTCCTTTTAGGAGGAGAAAATAAAAAATGATGTCTCCAGTTCAGTTCCTGGAAGCCGGTTAGAGAGCTAAAGCATGTTTTATCCTATCTGATAATTACCAGGTTGCCCAGATTTCATAATTCATAATTAAGAAAAGGGATTTGGGAACCTGAGCTATCCAGTGTACTTGAGGCCAACATTTTTTGGGTGATGAAGAAGATGTTATTTCTACTTGCACACCAATAGAGGGATAGAGATTGTTGTATTACTCAAATCAGTGTGCATAAAAGGAAGGAAGACCACCTGCTGTATCCTTCTTGGTGCTTTCTTTTGGCTGCTTGAACTTCTATTTACCTCTTCTGTAAAAATCATCTGTCCTGCCTCTGCAGAGCTTGTGACTGCTGAGAGGTCATGGCCTGTAATGATGAGACTGCCGGCCCTACTAAGTGTGAAGATTAGGAAATAAGGTGGAAAACACATCCTGTAATAATGAGTGTTGTGTTTTTGTGATTCAGTGTGTCATTTAAGCCTTGCCTGATGGTTTTCTTGTTTATGAGGTTGCCAGGATCTGGAGCTCAGCGTTGCTGCAGGTTTGGGCTGGGACAGCTGCTCTGCAAACAGCTGGCTCCTGTCCCCCGGGAGCACTGTATGTGTCACCCAGGGCTGTTGTTACCTCCACTAAGGAGCTGTGTAAGGAGCTCCCCTGGCCCTGGAGCTGGTCCCAGCAGCAGTCATGGGGCTGAGGAGCTGTGCCAGCAGAGATAGGGCAGGGAAGTGTTCCCCAATTTAGCTCGCGTGCGATAGAGCGGTGCTGGTGCCCATGTGGGCTGGAGGACAAACAGCTCCCCCACCTCCACCACTGCCAGCATGGAATTGCATTTAGAAAGGGTGATGGGACTCAGCAGAGCCTGTGGCTGAATATTGTGGGGTGAATTTGACATAAAAATTTCAAACCCTCTTCCTTAAGATGCATTGATTTCTTCAGCTGCACAAGAAAAGTGCATGTGTCTGGGCAGTCCTTTGGTTATCTGCCTCTGACTGCAGTTGGGAACATCTTTATTGATGCACAGACACTGGATTAAATCCAAAACTAACTTTACTCACATCCTTCTTGTATTTCAGTGCCATCTTGTTGATATGGGAATTCTTATCAGGCACAGTGTAGTGAATGAAGGACAGTGTTTTAGACCTTATTTGTGGTCTGCCTGGGACTTTGTGCTCAAAGTCTCAAAGCTGAAGGACCAAGCTCTTCTGTTTGCTAGCAGGGCTGGGGTGGAACAGGAGGATGGGAGGTGAAAAGTCATGAACTTCAGTTGTGTTTGTTTGTAAGTGCTTGCAGTGACCTCAGTGATAGTCATCTTTTTATAAAAGTTGTATCTCCCTACCATCAAAAGCCAAAAATTCAACTTCAGCATTGTAAGGTGCTTCCTAGCTCTTGTCACTGTTGTATTGGAATATCCAGATCATCTAGGAGTATGATAAAAAGGATTAACAATGCTCTTAACAATGGAAGTTTATTATTAGGTGACCTTTTTATTGTTGCGATTCATTCATTGTTTGTTTACAGATAAAAGTGTTTACATTAGTCACTTAGATGAAGCTCCACTGTTGCCAACATCCATGGGAGAGTGCTTTGCAAACGTGAAGTGTCTCTTTTTATAGACGTTATCATTAATGGGGAGTCCAGCAGATTATTCAACTGGAGATTTAATTATGGCAGGATCAAGCCTCACAAGCCATGTCCATATTTCTCCCCAAACTTTAGTCAATGTGGTGTACACATGAAAGAATGATCGAGGTTGTGTCTTCAGCCGTATAGAGTATCCTGAAAATCTCCCTTCAGAAGTGATGTGCATGGCTTCTGATTTCAACTGCTGCTGTGGGGTCTCCATAGAATTATTGATCGTTTTTGTAACCCAGTCGCATCGCCTACATCTCTGAAATCAATGTTGGTTTGGGTTTCTTTCAGAAAAATGACCTGAGAGCAGTATTTGGGTATGAATGTTTTGGAAAAGCACTGGGGTGACATGCAGAGAATGTGTTGGGAAACATTAAGCTCATCTACTCCTGATTGCAACCAAGGTTACAACCTTAGATCTGCCTTCAAGACGGGAATGTTTTTTCACGGTGATAATGATCAGTGGGTGTGAAATGGAAAAGATTAGCAGCTAGAGAAGCATGATGTATTGCTGCAAACTTTTTTCCTTTTTCCTTTTAGATTAAAAGGAACAAACTTGTTTTAAATCACAGCACTCCTCCTCTGCATGGTTTGTCTAAGGTGTGCCCACGTTATTTGGAGTGACAAACCCAAATGTGTCATAACTGGTGATTGCATGAGAGGGCAAACACTTAATTGATAAAAATGCTGCCATTGACTTTGGTCTTTAATCAAGTCTGTGGATGGAGTCTCTTGTCTAAACCGCCACTTAGGAGCTGTGTAACCTGCAGAGTTTCTCAAGGAGACTTTTTGATAGAGATGAGAGCTCCCACTTCCAAGACAAAATGTCATCTAGCTTAATGAAGTATTAACTTCAAAAGCCTCAGAAAGAATGCATTGACCCTCTCTTAATATAACCCGGGGTTTGGGTACAGTAGGTCTTCTTCTGTTAATGAATGAACTACTCCTGTAAATTTCCCAGTTTGTCCTGCTTTAATCTAAAATTGAAGAATAATGCTTGTAGTATTTTCCCCCCACTTACATATTCATATAGAATGATGCCCTACTGAAGTGCACACTACGTATTCCTGAGAAAAACAATTGCAATGCCCTCTGATGTTCGTGTTTTAATCTCCCCCAGCATCTTCTGAGTTAATATTAGAGAATTGAAGAAAAAAGTTCACAATACAGAGTTTTGAGGCTTGTGTCTGTCCCAAGTGCTGTGG